CCCCCCCCTGTATTGCAGCTACTCGCGAAACCACACCTACAATACCTACGTGGGGCAGGGCTACATCATCCCCGGGATGGACCAGGGGCTGCAGGGCGCATGCGTGGGCGAGCGCCGGAGGATCACCATCCCCCCTCACCTGGCCTATGGGGAGAACGGGACTGGTAGGCTCGTTCCCTGTCCCCAAGCCACCACCTCAGCTCCTCTCCTAAACTGCTCACTAACCTTCCCCTCAAGGGGGACTCCAGCCCACCCAGCTCCTGCCACACGGACTCCATCTTGTTCTCCCGGGGCAGTCCCCCAGCTCTCCCCTCCCACGCTGCCCTGCAGAGACTCCTGAGTCTGGGGAGGGAGGGTGGTTGTGGAAGAAAGAAACGGCATAGCTCTAGGAAGCAAAGGGACCTGGAGTTGAGACCCAGCCTCAGTGTCCTCACCTGTAGACTGGGACTGATCACACGGATCAGCGGGGTGAGTTCCTGGGAGGCTGCCAGACGGTCTGTGTAACGGCCTGTCTAATTAGCATGCGCCCCGCCCCCACCCCAACAAGACTGTGTTAGAGCTGACTGTGGACAAGCGTCCCGCCCCATCCCGTCCCGGGCAGGGAAGGTCTTGGGGCCTCCACGGAGACCCTGAGCAGCCCCTCCTAGACTGCGAGCTGATCCCCTCCCCCACTCTGGCCCAGGAGACAAGATCCCTGGCTCCGCTGTGCTGGTCTTCGACGTGCACGTCATCGACTTCCACAACCCTGCGGATCCCGTGGAAGTCACCACGCTGTCCCGGCCCCCTGAGCCCTGCAACGAGACCGCCAAGCCCGGGGACTTCGTGCGATACCACTACAACTGCTCTCTGCTGGATGGCACCAGGCTCTTCTCCTCGTGGGTCCGGGGCAGGGCCGGGGCTGGGCAGGTGGGTGGGCCCAGGCATGGGGAGTCCTCTAACAGCACCCCCACTCTTGCTTCCTCCCTAAGTTCCCATCTGAGCAAGTGTCGGGGAGGGGGAGCATGAGAAGCTGAAATTGTTCACTCTGCAGGCAGGCGGCAGGCGGAAGCTAGCAGTAGGGAGCTGCTGGCTCCCTTTTATGGAGGGAAACAAGCAAGGAGGGATGAGCCCTCAAGGCCACACTTCAAGGGCGGTGGCAAGAGAAGGGAGTCCCATCTCTGGACCGCTGGGCCCCTGCACTCTGCTGCGTGGGGCGGCGCCAGGAGTGACTCAGGAATTGAGAGCTTGTCCTGGGCCCGCCCGGGGCACAGTGGGTGGTGTGAACTGGGGTGTGTGGGGAGGAGTGGAGGGGGCACAGTGGGTGGTGTGAACTGGGGGCGAGGGCAGCGAGGACTGACCTGGGAATCTGCTCTCCCCCAGCCATGACTATGAGGTCCCCCAGGAGGCGACTCTGGGGGCCAACAAGGTGATTGAAGGCCTGGACGAGGGCCTGCAGGGCATGTGTGTGGGAGAGAGGCGGCAGCTCGTGGTGCCCCCGCACCTGGCACACGGGGAGAGCGGAGGTGAGGGCAGACTGGTCTGATTGGTGTTCTGTCCCCCTTGCCCCTGGCTGCCTTGGGCCTTGATGGCTGATGGGAGGAGTCCGGGAAGCCTTCTGGATGATTCTGTAAACATCCCATGCTCCACTCTCCAGCCCCCAACAGGGGAAACTGAGGCCCGTGGGCTGGGGAGCACCCTGGCCAGCCTTCGAAGTCAGGCCCAGACCCTGGCCTGACTAGGACTCTTCCCTTCTCTCCTCTTCTCCCTCCCTCCAGCCCGGGGGGTCCCTGGCAGTGCAGTGCTGCTGTTTGAGGTGGAGCTGGTGTCCCGAGAGGAGGGGCTGCCCGCAGGCTACCTGTTTGTGTGGCATGAGGACCCTCCTGCCAACCTGTTCGAAGACCTGGACCTTAACAAGGATGGCGAGGTTCCCCCAGAGGAGGTGGGTGAGGAGTTCAGCCCTTATAATAACCATTCCCACGCTGTCATCCAACAGGAGCCAGCTCGCATGGTGGCATGTGGCAAGAACGCTGTCCATGTCCACTGTCCTGTCTGTGGCCGTGCTCCTGTCCCTCTGCTGGTCACTGTGCCCAAGGTCCCTGTCTGCCTTTTCTTCGGGCGCACACGCAGCCCATTTCCCGCCGCGGACTGTCCCCAGCAGGCTCTCCACCCTGCTCTTCTCCCTTAGTCCTTACTGGCTGTGTCCACCTGGGGGCCCTTCCCAAGGCCACCACAGCTGCTCAGGAGAGACCCTCACCCCCACCCTCCCCTTGGCTCTCCTTGCCCAGTTCTCCACCTTCATCAAGGCTCAAGTCAGTGAGGGCAAAGGACGCCTCATGCCTGGGCAGGACCCGGAGAAAATCATAGGGGACATGTTCCAGAACCAGGACCGCAACCAGGATGGCAAGATCACTGCCGAGGAACTCAAGCTGAAGTCGGACGAAGACCAGGAGCGGGTCCACGAGGAGCTCTGAAGGGCAGGGGCCTGGGCACAAACGCGAGGGCCCACTTCTGGGGGGACAGTGGGCAGTGGGGCTGACCTTCCAGCAGTCTCCCTACCCTCTGCTGGGATAGCGTCAGGGAGCGTCTAAAAAGTGGTCAGAGGAGACAACTCTGGTCTTCCCACAAGCCCGAGTAACATCCACAGCACAGACCTCTATTGGGCTTTCTCTTCCAACCCCAACCCCTTCTAACAGTTTGGAGTTACAGAGCCAATGTGGGCATTGGTGGAGCCTGGGGGTTGAATGAGCCATTGCTGGCCCCTCGCCCACATCTCCCCTCCATGTCACCAGACTCTGAGCAAGGCGACTTCACCACTTGTCTCCCCAAACTTCCCTTTATCTGTACTTCTCACCATCCCCAAACCCCCAAATCCAGCATCTTTCCTCTGTGGTGGCAGCTCCCCAGGAGCATGACCCAGGGCTGGCGGGACCCCAGCCTTCCTCCTGCAGCTCTGGCTGCTTCCTGGGAAGGGGGCAGCTCCAGGAGGGCAGCCCCACCTCACCTGTCCTATCTCCCCTCACTGCATCCAGTGGCGGGTGAGGTGACCCCATGGTGCTACATTTAGGGCTGGACTTTGTGTCACCTTTCATCCTTAAAGAAAGCTGCTTTCTCTAAGGGACCGAGGAAGAGGAAGAAAGTGAGCAGAGGTGAGGAAACCTACTTCCATGGGCCTCAGGGCCACGAAATCCTTGGTTCAGGGCTGAGACAAACTTGGAAGAGGGGCTTACTGGGGGCTGAGGGGCAAGGGGGGCGGGGCGAGCTCTGCGTACTCAAAAGGCTAAACTGGTGCCAGATCCTCTTCTCCTTTGTGCCAAATAAAAGACAGCACCAACGGCTCAGAAACTGGTCTTTCTCGGGGGGAGGGCTTTAGACCCAAAGATTGGGAAGAAAGGGAACAAAGCAGGCTGTGTTCCTGCCTGTCACTCAAGACTCTGTGTCCCCAGGTCCCGGCCCCTTCCTCCAGGGGTTCCTGCCTCCCTGAGGCCCAACTCCGGGCCCTCACCACGGAAAGTGAGCCCCAGTCTGCTGGAGGGAGGATGGGGAGTGGGTGTCCACAGAGGAGTGGGGCCTGTCTCCTAACTCCCTGCTGAACGGAAAGACGAGGTCCCTGACCTCAAACACGACACGCGAAGCTCAAGGATTAAATTAAACCACACAGGGCGGTCCCACTCTTTCATGCCGATTTCCAGTGTTCCCACCTTCCCACCTCTCCCTGCTCCCGGCTACCAGCCATGACCACCTGCTCCATCCTTGTCCCTCTCGTCAGAAGGAAAGGCAGTTGAGTTCAGGCCTCCGGTGTCTATGGGGAGGAGTTGCTTCAGCCACCACTCAGGCCATCTGCCCTCTGCTGCCTGGCTGGACTCTGGCCAGTGCAAAGATGACCTGAGCCATCAGAGGACGTCGGGGGGGAGGGGTGCTCAGGTTGGGACTGGACTCGCTGAACTGCCCCCACGAGCACCGATTTCATGCCTGGGACCCCCTGAGATGTGGCCTCTCCCCACAGCTGGTGACTGACGCTCTCTGGTCCCAAAACATCCAGAAGACCCTGAGGGTCTGACAGTGGCCACAGACCCAGCCTCCGATGGTAACCATGCCCTGCCCAAAAGCCCACAGGACAGCCCTGAACCGAGCCCACATGGGGGCAGCGTGATGCGGAACAAGCAGGGCTTGGGTCAGAGACACCCAGACCCTGGCTCTAGCTCCTAGCTGTGGAGTTGGGACAAGTCCCGGTCCTTCCTGAGCCATCTGCAGATGGGAGCTACACGCACTGTCAGGGTCACTGTGTCCATCCAGGTGCACACAGCAGGCATTCAGTCAACACTCGCACTGCCTCTCCTTCAGCCGTGCAGCTAAACACAACCTCCCAACAGCCAGGCGGGCAGGAGGGTGAGAGAACGAATTCTCTGAGGGAGGGCAGGCGAAGAAAATGCCAGGTGAACTGGCTGGTCTCTAGTTTTTCTTCAATAGGTGCCCGAGAGAAAACGCAGTGGTTCCTGAGCATCCAAGTCAACAGGGAGCGGAGAAGGGAAAGGAAGTGAAGAAGCCCAAGACTGCCAGACGACAGCGGAAATCACCCCCAGTTCACTTTGCCACAGAGATCCTTCCCCCTCAGGTCCCCAGTCTCACCCCCCTCTTAAGGTCATCCATTTCAGTGGCCCTGGACCCACAGAAGGAGGAGGGAGAGGAGCCAAGGGCCCCAGGGAAGATATCCACCCAAACAGATCCCTCTGGGGATCCCAAAGTGGGGGCTCCACAGACAGGGCCAGCCAAACCCAAGTGAGCCCAGCTGAATTTCGAATTTAACGGCTGCATGGGAACAAAGGCAAACATTCCAGGTCAGAAACGCATCCTTCCCACCCCGCCTGCCCCCCTGATCCCCACAGACACACGGGGGCTGTGCTCGGGCTCTCCTGGGCTAATTCAGTGGTTTTCAAGCTGTGTTCCGTGGAGCCCTAGTGGCTTCTTGGAGGTTCCTGCGCCTTCGGGGCCGAGGGGTGCAGACTCCGGGAGCAGATCCGAAGAGCTGTTTGTTCCTTCTTTATTGTGATCTGTTTTGCACATTAGATCGGTTTGAAGGACAGCTTCCCATGTTTAAAAATTTTGCAAAAAGAATCCTGGACCAAATGACCCCTTGAGTGCCAACACCCTGCAGGTCCACAGTTCAGCTGGAACGGCTCTGGCTGCCCTCCCCCCAGGCAGGGCTGCCCTCGAGCCTTGGAGGACACCAACGGAAGGTGCTGGGGAAAGGAGGAGGGAGGGCGAGGGCCCAGCAGCTCGGGCGCCCTGGACTTTCCTCTGCACACACAGAGAAGAGCAGTGCTCCCAGCAGAGCGGCCCCTGCGAGGCCCCCTCCTCGTCAGGGCCTGCAGGGCCCAGCCCCGCCCCCGTGCGCTCAGGAGCCCTGCATCTCCATCCAGTCCCTCTGGTGCAGGATGTGCTGCAGCAGACCGTTGACCACGTCCAGCGTCTCATCCTTCTCCAGCACGATGTCATAGGAGTCCATGTAGCGCTCCCGCCGCTCCTCCACCTGCCCGGAGGGAGGGGAGGCTGAGGGTCCCCCCAAGTCCCCAGCCCCCTGCCTCACCCACTGCCTCTGACTCTCTAGAACCCGGGGCTGTGGGATGAGGACATTCAAGCTGCAACTCGCCAGGAGTTGTTCAAGGTTCCCAGGACCTGCCCTTTGGAGACATGGATGGCAATGGGCACGGGCTGCCATAATTAACCCCTGGGTCAATGTCAAAAGGACAGTAAGAAAGATTAAATTTTAAAAACCAGATGCTACCTCTAATCTATCTGGATTGAATCTTCACAAGGCCCAAGCATCCTGTGGGACTTCAGCACCTGCTGACTGAGGATGTGGACTGGTGGCCTTCTAGCTTGATATCATACTGTGCCCCTTTACGACCACACTGCTTTCGCCCCTGGTCTGTTCTTGTATTTCTCTTCTCTAAATTATAAGCCCACACCCAGAATGCTGACACCTCCCATCTCAATCACGCCTTACAGGTATGATTTAGGATTTAGGATTTTGTCAGCCTCACCAATTCCTAAACTATGTCACCTTGGGCAAGTTACCTAACCAGCCCGACTCAGTTTCCTCAAGTGTAAATGGTGTAATGGTTACTCCTCAGAAGGCTGGTGTGAGGATTATAGGGGTTAATGTGCCTGGCATGTGGTGGATACTCATTAAGCGTAGGCTCCAATTAAGTGCCTGGTGTTACCCCGTCTCTGAACTCCAGTGTCATGCCGTGTGGTGAGCACGCAGCCATAGTTACTGGTCTTGTTTTCCTATGAGAATATGGAATATTCTCCTGGAGAATATGGCTTGTGTCTTACTTCGGTACCTCTACTTAACACAGTGTCTAGCACATGGAAGGTGTTTGATAAGCATTTGTTAACAGGAATTGAGGGAGAAGCAAGCCACGAAGAGCCCTGGTCACCTACCTACCTTGTCATTTAGGAAGCCAATCTTGAGAATGTTCTCCACCCCAGGAACCCCATCGGCCATAGTGAGGTCTCCCATGGAGTCTCCCAGCAGGAGGATGTTGGTTTTGCCCTGAAGCTGCTGGAAGTAACCGGAGTTCTCGCACACGGAGCTGTTCTTGTTGTACGTGTGTATGAGCTGGCCCTTGAACCCCTGGAGGAAGCCCTGAATCATCAGGAGACAGACAGATGCGTTACGGGGACACTTCTAAGGCCAGTTTTCCATTGTCTCCGTCGCAGAGGAAAGGGAGTCCTGAAAGCCATAGATAATGCCAAAACTTCACTGTTTTCTCAACTAAAGGTTGGCAAGCTCAGGCCCATGGGCCAGAGTTGGCCACTTTCTGTAAATTAAGGTCTACTGGAACCCAGCCAGGCCCATTTGTTGATGTCTTGTCTGTGGCTGCTCTTTCGTGTGGCAGAGTGAGGAGTGGTGACAGAGATCATATAGCCCACAAAGCTCAAGACATTGATTACCTGGCCTCTTACAAAAAGTCTGCAACCTCTGGTCTAAACGAACAGGGACCATCCAATATGCTGATGCCCTGCTCTGGTGGAAGCATGAGGCCCGTGGTACAAGCACCGTTCAGGCTACATGTGTCTTAAGCCTCAGCTGTGGGCCGCGTCCTGACCACAGGTCAAAGGGATGACAATTCCGGCCATTGGTTTTAAGGGCAAGAAGAGAGAACATGGTGAGTTGGAGCAGCCCAACTCTGGCTCTAGAAAAACAAGTCAAAGTCTAAGCTCTTGAGTACCCGGGGTGGCACATGACCCATGACAGAGATGTGGGGCCTGGCTGACCCCTGAACTAGGGTCCCCCACAGCGAAGCCGACTATCGGCCAAACACCAAAGAGTAGGTCCTTCAAAAATAACTGTCCTTAGCTGGCATAAAGAAATAAGTAAATGCCCGAGGGCAAAGAAGCGAGCATGTCCCCACCTCCCTCCCCGGGTTAGGGCTAATGTTTCGGGTGACGTGTCCTGGCTGGCAGTCCCCACGCCTCTTCTATTCCCAGCCCAAATGAGATCTGGCTTACATCTTCATCAAAATCCATGTAGTTGGACACAATATGGATGTTAGGGTGGAACACTTTCATCTGTTGGATAATTTCCTCCAGGATGTCACCAATGCCCGCGGAAAAGATGAAAAGGGGGACGTTGTTCTGGTAGAGGGTGTTGAAGAACGTCTTGTACCCCTCCCTGAAAAGAGAGGAAGAGGCTCTGAAATGGCACGGCCTCTGCTACAGTTCTTCATAGTCTACTGGGGTTATATATTATTAAATTTTCTTTTTTTTTTTTAATTTTTATTTTTTCCTTTTTCTCCCCAAAGCCCCCCAGTACATAGTTGTGTATTCTTCGTTGTGGGTTCTTCTAGTTGTGGCATGTGGGACGCTGCCTCAGCGTGGTCTGATGAGCAGTGCCATGTCCGCGCCCAGGATTCGAACTAACGAAACACTGGGCTGCCTGCAGCGGAGCGCGCGAACTTAACCACTCGGCCACGGGGCCAGCCCCTAAATTTTCTTTTTTAAAAATATTTTAAATTGATGTATAAAATGCATACAGTAAATGGTTAAAGTGCACTTATCTTACGCGTTCGGCTCATATTTACATATACATACACCCCTGCCATTACTAACCAGATCAAGGTTCCCGCATGTCACCCCGTCAATGCCATCCCTCATTTCCACTTCACACCACCATTGGTTAGCTTTGCCTTTCCTTGAACTTCATATAAACGGACTCATTTTTGTTGTTGTTGTTTCTGGATTATTTAGCTCTAGCAAAACACAACCAGGCAGCTGTCCTGGGGCAGCTTCACTGAGGAACACCCCAACCCCGCTCCGGCATTCACTGGGTCTGCACACGTCTCTACTCTCTTGGCTTTTCACGAGCTAGCCTTTCTCCCCAGTTAGGACACATAATCCTTGCGGGCAGGCACCCACGTCAACCCCTTCCTCTATGTGTCCACATCCCTTCTCCAGGAAAGAACACTCCAGCAGGGAGAGCTGTACGGTGAAGGCTGCCGATGATCAAGGGTCCCAGGCCAGCTGATACCCACGTCTGGATAAAGAACACCAGTTACCATGGGGCCGCACAAGTCTTTTTACCACTGGGAAAAATGATCTGGACGCTGTCTGTTCTAGGAGACAAAGTCCTGGTCACGTGCACACTACGTCCACTACCAGCAGACTGCCTTAGCTGTATCGAGAGAGGAGAGCAAGACTTTCCACGTCAGCTGCTCGCGGTGCTAAGCCTCTTCTGACTCTCCCAGCAACTAACTCCTTTCCACTCGTTCCCAGCCTCTTTTTTGCGAGCAAACTAGTTCCAAACAGTCTGGCAGAAACGTTTCCGAGCAGAAAGCTTACCTCAGCATCGCGTTGGACTCCCTGACCACCTGCGCTATCTGAGACTTCCGAATCTTCTGCTGACACAGGAGGTTGTGCGCCTTGGTCCACCTGGAAACAGACACCCCACAAAACCCTCAATTCAAATCGCTAAGTGAGTGGAGCACCCTGTCCCTTTGCAGGGCCATGTCCCCTCTGGAGGGATGACAACGGAGGGCTCATCCTTTTCCACAGAGCCATCTCCTGAAGGAGCTCCTTGAAAGGAGAAGGGTGAGAAAGCTACACAACAGGGAGACGAGTTGGGCACGAGGAGTGCTGATGTCAGGGCTCTTCAGGGGCCGGCTCCATGGCCGAGTGGTTAAGTTCATGCGCTCCGCAGCGGCGGCCCAGGGTTCAGATCCTGGGCGCAGACATGGCACCGCTTGTCAGGCCACGTTGAGGCGGCGTCCCACAACCCACAACTAGAAGGACGTGCAACTGAGATATATACAACTGTGTGCAGGGCGGGTTTGGGGAGATAAAGCAGAAAAAAAAAATTGGCAACAGTTGTTAGCCCAGGTGCCAAAAAAAAAAAGGAAGATTGGCAACAGTTGTTAGCCCAGGTGCTAATCTTTAAACAAAAAAGAAAAAAAAAAAAGGCTCTTCTGAATCCCTTCCCCCCGACCCGACTCTCGGGAGGACTGGGGCTCTGTCCAGTGACACTGGCTTCTGTAGGAGGGTTATCTCCCCAAAGCGCTATTCCCCCAAACCCAGGGGCTTCTCACTCGTTCCAAGGGTTCTTGGTGGGCACCTGCTCTGGCAGTAGCTATCAGTAGCCCCGGTGTGTCTGGACAATGGTTCTAATAGCCGGGCCTGTGGCGTTCAGGTACACATCCAGTAAGGTAAGGGGGCTTGTCATCTCGTTAAGCTCAGGAAACAGACACCCCTCCCAGACCAATCCATCCTGAGGGCAGGAGCCTGTCACTGCCACCACCACTTACCATTCCACCATATGAGGCAACTTCTCTTTGATGGTCCGGTGTGGGTCAATCTCAATCGGGTAATAGTGGTGAAGGAGCATTTTGAGCTGGGACACCCAAATGAAGAGAAAAGCTGTTAGTCCACATGAGGTTTTCCCCAGCAAAGTCCTACAATTTAGGGGGAGAAGAAAATCACCCCGAAGACGCAACCTTGCGTGAGGAAGTGTGGGATCCGCAGAGCTGGTCACCCCTTGCACTCACCCTGAGAGAGCGAGCTCTGAGCATCAGGCACATAAAGAGCTTTTGCTATCACATAACCGGGTCACTAGGATTTTGTTGTTGTTGTTGCTGTTAATTAGCTCAGTCATCAGGCTTTAACCAGTAAGAACTGATTTAATGCCGTGTTCCCCAAAATGTGGTACACCTTCTCCGGCGGCAGGCAAGATAACTCTGAGGGTCACATGGATAAACACTTTTCGTTATAGTAGTTTTAGATTCAGCTTGACCATTAGAAATGTACATTAGAAGAAGAAAACTAGCACATCAAACTCGTGCTTTCACAAAGCTTTGTTTCTTTTCTAAGTTAATTGCATTTAGATTTTTAAAAGCAGGTCAATTTAAAGAAAATACTTAGTAAAAGTCATACACAGATATGGCAAAAAAAAAAAATCATGAAAGTGGAACTAGCAGACTGTAGTCTGGGACACAGCACGTCAGTGGACCACTCCCTCCCACGGCCAGCATCAGGTGAACCACCTCCCGAGCATCTCTATGAGCTCCTTGCACCAAGGTTTCCTTCCACATGCCAGGACCCTTGACCCTTTTGGGAGGCTGTGTTAGGGATCGTGTCACACAGGGTCAGTCAGTAACAGTGCCCAATAAAAATGGGAATTGACCTGGTAAAGAATCCTAATTTTAATATATGCACGGTCTTGGATATTATGAGATCAATGGAGTCCCTGACCATCGGTCCAAAGGAGGGTTAAATGCAAAGATCACACACGAATAAAGGCAGAAAGTGCCAGAAACGTATTAAGATTCTCAATGTGGGTGTTTTTTTGAGTGTGGTAAATTTTTCTAAAAGTATAGTAGAACTCGACAGAAAAGTATTATTTATTTATTTATTTATTTATTTATTTTGGTGAGGAAGATTGTCTCTGAGCTAACATCTGTGGCCATCTTTCTCTATTTTGTATGTGGGATGCCACCACAGCATGGCTTGACAAATGGTGTGTAGGTCTGCGCCCGAGATCTGATCTCATGAACCCACAGCCACTGAAGTGGAGTGTGCAAACTTAACCGCTAAGCCACTGGGTGGCCCCAGAAGAATATAATTTTTAAAAAAGAAAAAAAAGATTTTGAGCCAGCCCTGATAGCCTAATGGTTAAAGTTTGGTGCTCTCACTGCTTCAGCAGCCAGAGTTCCTTTCCTGATCGTGGAACCACACCACCCGTCTGTCAGTTGCCACGTTGTGGCGGCAGCTCACATAGAAGAACTAGAAGGACTTACAACTAGGATTTACAACCATGCTTGGGGCTTTGAGGAGAAAAAAAAAGAGAAAGACTGGCAACAGATGTTAGCTCAGGGCAAATCTTTCCCTGCAAAAAAAAAAAAAAAGAAAAGAAAAAAGATTGTATACATAAAATTGCTTTATTTATTTTTTGAGGAGCCCATCAACAGCAAGAATCTTAGTTTTCTCTAGCTTTTTTACACCAGAGAGGGCATCGAAAGCTACTGTCTGATTTGTGGATGCAACTTTCTGGAGGCTGATAAGATCAGGGACGTGAGGAACCACAAAAAGTGACTTGCCAAAGGCAATCAGTGGAGCCAGAACCTACCTTAAGCGAAAAGTGTCATCTCCAGAGAGAGAGGTTTTAGAAATATAAGCGCTACCCAGAATTCACCACCCAGCTCAGTAATGAGTAAGCCTGACAGAGTGTTAGAAGAGCTGACCAATATGACAGACCAACGACACCTAGGACGCAATTCAGTGAATTTCCTAACGAAGTGGAACTAAATGATGTAGTTATTCAGCAGAGAGAGCTCAGCAACCTGCAGAGAAACGCACGATGAGCACGGCTCTGCTCTGGCAAAGAGGCACTGACGGGAAGAACATGGAGCCAAGGAAAACGGACTCCAAGGCTACAGGGTTCCCTTTACAATATTTGCATGCATCTTACAGAAATGGGAGTCATCACACCTTGACGTTAATTCAGAATTTTTTCTTGATACCTGTAGCCTTGCCAAGGAAACGGTATTATCAAGGAAAGGGCATAAGGTAGTGGAAAGAGTTTAGGACAGAATCAGATTTATGGGAAAGCCAAGCTCTGTGCTTTGCCGTGTGACGTTGGGTAAGCTGCTCAACCTCTCCAAGCCTCTGTTTTCTCATCTGTTAAATGGAGACAATAATGGTTCTATCCGTCTCTCGGAGTTGCGGGAGGGTTAAACAACAAACACGAAGTCTCCTGTTAACTCTATAGCTAGTAGTAAACATAACTCCCATATTCCGACCATCAATCATCTTAAGTCTGGGCCAATAAGGGAAAGCTGCCTCAGTCCATTACGACTAGGTCCATCTGAGCACAACAACAACAGATTTTTAAAAAATTAATCTTCTCAGGTCTCTATCCCGGAATCTTCGGTCCTAACTGAGAAGCATTTGAAGCAGTATGTGAGAGCCGTTCCTGAGCAAGGCAGGGGAGCAACTCACCTCTTTCCGGCACTCCTCGCTGATGATCTTGCTGTCATCCAGAATATCTGCAAAAACATAAGACTCCTTTTACTTGCCCATTAGAAGCCTTCATCTTGTGGAGCCCAACAAAGCAAGCTAGTCTGTTACTCACTGTGAGAAGAAGGGCATCGCTTTCCATTGTATGCGAACCTGCTCAAGGTCATGTCAAAATCAGAAATGACCTAAAATGCAAGAGAGAGATGACGCCTAGACAGGCTCCTTCCTGCCCGGGTGGGGGGGGTGGGGGGTGACTGGAAGTCAAAACAGGTCAGAGAGGGAAGGAAGAACCAATCCCAGCTAGTACACGTTTAACCGGACGCCCAGCCTCTTCGGGGTGGCGGTGGGGGCTGAACAATCAGGACCCCCTTGACTCTTTCAACTGCACTCATCTCAGTGCCCTGGGTCCTTCCTAAGTGCTTCCACCTTTATGGCCCATCTCCACACCTGCACCTTCTTGGGGAGCGCGCTGACCGCGGCTGGTGTGGAGAAGAAGCCCCGGGGCCTGGTGTGGGGTGCCCTCTAACTAAAGGAAGCAGCATGACAGTATTGAGAATTTGAAATCCAGGTTTTCAGGCAGGTGGGCTCTTCCCCAAGGCAAAACCGGCGAACCAACCCGCATGCCCTCAGGCCGCTGGCCATTTCTAGAGGCTGGGGGCTTGTAGGTGTCCGCAGCAACGCGGGAAGGCTCCATGGGCAGACACCTCCCCAGGCCCCCCCAGAAACGCCCCCCGCCCCAGCCGGCGGCCTCACCAGGGTCAGTACCTGTAAGCGGTCTCCCCCGCCCCTGCGGAGGGCGCCCACGATCTCCTGCACCCGCCCGGGCTGCCGCATCAGGACCGTGGCCTTCATCAGGATGCTCACCTGTCCCGAGACCCGAGAGAACCGATGACCACGGCACCCCGTTGCGCCCAAGGGAGCCCGGGCTCGCTCGGAGCCCTGTGAAGCCGGGCCGGGGGCACCTACTTGCTGGGGTGGAGCGGCGGGGCCGAGGCAACCCGCTGCGCGCCCCAGAGCGTCCCGGGGGTCGGGTCCCGCCCCACGCCGGACGCTTCCTCCCGCCTCACCTCCTCCGCCATGGCGCTCGCCACCGGGTTGGCGGCGCGGGGACAACGACCGCCCCGCGGCCGCACTGCGCAGGCGCCGCCTCCGCCGGGTCCCCCGCCAGCCCGGCGATGCCGGGAAGATGCAGGCGCCGCCTTCAAGGGCTGCGGGGTCCGCTAGGAGACCCTGGTTCAGGGCTCCGTGTTGAGGAGGGTGAGGGTCCCAAGGAGTTGGGGTTACTGGATGCCACTCTTTCTAGAGCAAAAACCTTGGCAAGAGTGGTCACTTCCAGACTTAACAGTTTGCACGACAAAATAGCGAACGGATGGGAGGGGGTGTGAAAGAGCCATAAAGTGAGTTCTGATAACATCCTGAAGGTGCTTCCTTAACTGCACCCACTCCTCATCCCAGAAGAAAATGAGTGGCTAACTCTCAGTCCCGCGGGCAGGAAGGCCCTGGACAGCAGGGCCGGAATCAAATCTAATGAGCTTTCCTCTTGCCTTCTGCCTCCTCTGACTTGCTTTCCCTGAACTCAGTGTCTGGGGGCCAAGTGTGGAGAAGAAGACAGATGAATGCTGCAGAGATACGGAACTGGGCGACTGAAGTGGCCAACAGGAATCTGAGTTCATAAGAACTGACATGTGGTGTTGGTGGTCACAGTCCTGTTCCAGGTTCAAGGACACAGAAGGCGGTGTGGCGTGGTCTTCAGCCTGAGTGGTGTGTTGGGGGAGGGGAGAAGGAAGGAGGACAGGGACAGGAGAGAGTTCCAGAACCTGAGAACACAATCCCGAGAGTGATCTCACTGCGGGCCCAGGATTCTGGAACTTGGGCTGCCTGATGGGCCCTATATGAAAGATGTAGTAGGGAAAAGGAGCGACAGCTGGCTAAAGGGGCCCCCCCACAACCCTCCCCCATCACCCTAGGAGAGCAGCCTCTCTCCGCTGGTCCCAGGGTGCCATGGAGATGGAGAGCGCAGCGGCCTCCACACGTTTCCACCAGCCTCACATGGAGAGGAAGATGAGTGCGATGACCTGTGAGATCTTCAACGAGCTTAGGCTAGAGGGCAAGCTCTGCGACGTGGTCATCAAGGTCAATGGCTTTGAATTCAATGCCCACAAGAACATCCTCTGTAGCTGCAGTTCCTACTTTAGGTATAACAGGGTTGCTGAACTAAGCCAAAGGGGGAATTTGGCTCATTTTGAGATGTTTTGGTTCATTTCATCTTTCCCACCCCACCATCTTAAGTTTAGGGACACTGTCAAAGCTCTGGCTCCTGTCGCTTGGCTCCTTTGTCTTCTGAAGAGGCCGAGCTAGGGCCAGAGCCTCTTCTTTCTAGTTTTCAACCAACTGTTGGTGGGCCTGCTGCTTTTTTTCTTTGATTCTCACCCAAACCAACCTTTGGGAAGGTTGGACACCCGTACTGGATTTCCTACTTAAACCTAGATGACAGTGCCACTTCAGCCACCTCTTATGTCCCTATCCCGGTAGAGACTACAGGCATACCTCGTTTTGTTGCGCTTCGCAAATAGTGAGATTTTTACAAGACCCTCCACCAGCAAAAAAGATTACAACCCGCTGAAGGCTCAGATGACGGTTAGCAATTTTTAACAATAAAGCATTTTTAAATTAAGGTATGTACATTGTTTTTTTAGAGATAATGCTATTGCACACTTAACGGACTACAGTATGGTGTAAACATAACTTTTATATGCATTGGGAAACCAAAAATTTGTGTCTCACTTTATTGCAATATTTGCTTTATTGTGGTGGTCTGGAACCGAACCCACTATATCTCCGAGGTATGCCTGCATCTCAAACGGGGTGATAAATTAACAAGGACTGAGGGGATGCGAAGGGGGATGAGGAGAAAGAACCAAGAAAATATTTATCAGATGAAAAAGGGAGTTTGGGCCAAAACCATTGTAACCCAGGAAGTGGAAGAGGGATTTTTGTTCATGAGCTGAAAATGTTTGAATGATCCGTTCCAGTGAAGATATGATGAACGCATCCCACCTGTGGCTAAAAATTCTCATTCATCTAGACCTATAGCAGAGTCTACAAAAAGACCAGACAGTGACTATTTTAAGCTTTGCAGGCCATACTGTGTCTGCTGCCACTCCTCCACTCTGCCTCTGTAGTGGGAAAGCAGCTGTAGACGAGGCTGAAGGGCTTGTCTGCGTTCCTATACATTTATTCATGGACACTGAAATGCGAATTTATTATAACTACCAGGTGTAACAAAATCTTTTGATTTTTCCACCATTAAAAAATGTAAAAATGTTCTTAGTTCATGGGCAGTACAAAAACAAGAGACAGGCCAAATCTGGCCCAGAGGCTGTCTGTGCAAATCTCTGCTCCAGGGAAGAATTTGATCTCTAAGCCTATATTCCCTTAAACTTCCTAGAAAAAGGAAGCAAAATATATTAGGGTAGGGACTTCCGTCTTGTTCAATATCTAGAAAAGTACTTAGCTACATAAGGGCAGCCCAATAAATAGCTGTGGAATTGTAGTCACTCATTCTTTCAAAGATTATTTATTGAGTGCCTCTTCTGTGATAGGCACTATCCTGGGTACTGGAAATAAAACAATGAATAAAGAGATAAAAATTCCTGTTCTCATGAAGCTTACCTTCTAGTAGGAGGAGTAGGCATTAAGTAAATAAAATACATATCATAAGTGCTAGGGGAAAAAAGAAGATAGAGAACAGTGGGTGGCAATTTTAAATAGGATTATCACTTTGCTGACAAAGTGACATTTGAGCAAAGACGTCAAGGGAATGAGGGAGTGAGAAATATGGAAGTATGGGGGAGCCTTCCAGGCAGAGAGGGAACAGCAAGTTCAAAGGACCAAAGATGGAAGCACCTCTGGTGTAGTCAAGGAAGAAAGCCTGGAGGGGCTGGAATGGAATGAGAGGGAAGGGGGAAGACGGGAGGAAGTATGGTCAGAGGGGTATTACTGGTCCAGATTTCAGAGGACTTTTGTAGCCCCTGGTAAGGACTCTGTATTTTACTGTAAGAAGGGAAGTCAGTGGAGGGTTTTGAGCGACAGATGAATACAAACTCATAAGGTGGCTGCGATAAGACTATAAACTCTGGAGGTGTCAAGGGCAGAAGCAGGAAGATCAGTTAGGAAGTTACTCCCAATAATCTGGGCAAGACATGGTTGTGGCTTGGACCAAGGAGATAGCAAGAAAAGAGGTGAGAAGTGATCCGATTCTGGATAGGTGTTGACTGAATAATACTTATTTAAAAAGTGTACTGCTCAAGTTTAATTTCCTTAAGCAAGGTAGAATTTGGTGGGCAATGTGTTGGGACAGAAGAGACCTGGGTCTTACTCCCAGCTCTCGATCTCGATCCCTCCATCCACAAAATGGGAAAAGGACCTAGTTATCCTGAGGATGATGAGAGTGACCGAAGTCAAGGTTCTTGGAAAGATTCTCTTGCTCAGTGTATAAAGTACAGTCTGCCCTCCCCCTCCCCACGCCAGTTTATTTCCAACATACTCGTTGTGCACTCCTTGGAAAATGTCCAAACTCTGCTCAAGAAGAGGTGGGGAAGAACAGGGGAAACTGGAGAGAAATGTTGCAGTGGCTGCTAGTTTCTTTCTTTTTTTCCAGAGCTTTGTTTACAAGTGGCTGGAACAACACTGAAAAGAAGGTATACAACATTCCTGGAATTTCCCCCGACATGATGAAGCTCATTATTGAATACGCGTACACCCGGACCGTCCCTATCACCCCGGACAATGTGGAGAAGCTGCTGGCTGCTGCAGACCAGTTTAACATCATGGGTATTGTCAGGGGGTGCTGTGAGTTCCTCAAGTCGGAGCTGTGTTTGGATAATTGTATCGGCATCTGCAAGTTCACAGACTACTACTACTGCCCCGAGCTGAGGCAGAAGGCCTACATGTTCATATTGCACAACTTCGAGGAGATGGTGAAAGTCTCAGCAGAGTTTTTAGAGCTCTCAGTCACTGAACTTAAGGATATCATTGAGAAAGATGAGCTCAACGTCAAACAAGAAGATGCTGTATTTGAGGCAATTTTAAAATGGATCTCTCATGACCCCCAAAATAGGAAGCAGCATATTTCAGTTTTGCTTCCCAAGGTCAAGTTTAGTTGTTTTTTGTGGGATGCTTAATCGCTCACTTTTGATTCATTTATCCCAGAGGGATTGTCCTAAGAGCCATATTCAGATGTCTGAGAGTCCAGGGCTGTATTTACACATACTTACACAGAAGGCATCTGCTACTATTCTCTGGAACTTTGCAGTTTTCTTTGCCCTTGCATTGCTAGTTCCTTCTACCCCAGTGACAGCCTTTGACCAAAATTCTCCCTAGTAGTGGGAGGAAAGGGCAAGGTCTTCAAAAAAATTCTAAAGGTCTTTCTTTCCTATTTTCCATTTTGTGAGTCTCCCTAAACCCAAGATAGAAGTTGGACTAGAAACAAAACCACGAGTATTGCACTTGATTGTAGCCATTTGGTGCCAATTCATGTTATTTTACATAGAGAGATACAGATACTCAATTACTGAACAATTACCACAGCTCCTTCTGGTCTAATAGTACATCCAATGGCCAAGGGATGGGCTAGCTCTGTGACCACTCGAGGTACCTTCAATCTAGCTCATTCTCAGCCTCCAAATGTATACCACCTCCAAAAAACAAATATTTAAACTGTGAGTTTTAAATTTCAAAAACAAAACAAAATATAACCCTACTACAATTCAAAGGCAGACTATAAAACAGGCGGTTTGGGATATGGGTTTTCCAGGCGCCCTCAACTTCATCTGAATGACTCTGTATTTCCTTTTTAGGTTCGCCTGGCCCTAATGCATGCTGAGTACTTCATGAACAATGTTAAGATGAATGACTATGTCAAAGACAGCGAGGAATGCAAGCCAGTCATCATTAATGCCCTAAAGGCCATGTATGACCTAAACATGAATGGACCCTCTAATTCTGACTTCACCAACCCACTCACCAGGCCCCGCCTGCCCTATGCCATCCTATTTGCAATTGGTGGCTGGAGTGGTGGGAGCCCCACCAATGCCATTGAGGCATATGATGCTCGGGCAGACAGATGGGTGAATGTCACTTGTGAGGAAGAGAGTCCCCGTGCCTACCACGGGGCAGCCTATTTGAAAGGCTACGTTTATATCATTGGGGGGTTCGATAGCGTAGACTATTTCAATAGTGTTAAGCGTTTTGACCCAGTCAAGAAAACTTGGCACCAGGTGGCCCCGATGCACTCCAGACGTTGCTATGTCAGTGTGACAGTCCTCAGCAATTTTATTTATGCCATGGGAGGATTTGATGGCTACGTGCGTCTCAACACTGCTGAACGTTACGAGCCAGAGACCAATCAGTGGACACTCATTGCCCCCATGCACGAACAGAGGAGTGATGCCAGTGCCACTACACTCTATGGAAAGGTAAGAACGGGGCGGTGGGGGCAGTGGAAGCAAATATGCCCAGAAATAATGCTCTTCTTTGTTTTCTGGGGTGGATGGAAAACAGAAGTGGCAGTACTCACTGTGCAGTACTAACGCCTTCCTGAAAAGACTAAACGGCCCTTTGTAACTGTCTTTTCTTATTTTACTTAGTAAAAAGCAACGTGGAACAAAGAAACTCAGATTGTACAGGCTGGCATCAGAAGTGTCCCCCCACCGCTATATACATACCCTTTCTTTCTACTCCACAGAGGTAACAATTTTAACAATCTTGGAACTCTCTTTACACACAGGTCTACATATGTGGTGGGTTTAACGGAAACGAATGCCTGTTCACAGCAGAAGTGTACAACACTGAGAGCAATCAGTGGACAGTCATAGCACCCATGAGGAGCAGGAGGAGTGGAATAGGCGTAATTGCTTACGGAGAACACGTATATGCAGTGAGTTTATCTTGTACCACCACAAAAACCATACCCTTAGATTTTCAGCAGCAAATGGGTTTACACTACCATTGGGAAGCAGTTCAAACTTTTTTCCCCATAGAAGATAGTGGAAAAGGGATGTATGAAATCACTGGTCCCCTCGAAGAGGGCCTCCTGGTGCACAGAAGCAATGGCTAACAGCCAACCGTGTTTCCTTTGCCGTCTGCAGGTAGGCGGCTTTGATGGAGCCAATCGCCTTAGGAGCGCAGAAGCCTACAGCCCAGTGGCTAATACCTGGCGCACGATCCCCACTATGTTTAATCCTCGTAGCAATTTTGGCATCGAGGTGGTAGATGACCTCTTGTTTGTGGTGGGTGGCTTTAATGGCTTTACCACCACCTTTAATGTTGAGTGCTATGACGAAAAGACCGACGAGTGGTACGATGCTCACGACATGAGTATATACCGCAGTGCTCTGAGCTGCTGCGTGGTACCAGGGCTGGCCAATGTTGGGGAATATGCAGCTAGACGGGACAACTTCACAGGATTAGCACTGCGAGATGAAGTCAAGTACTCTGCTTCAACAAGCACCCTACCTGTATGAGCCTCTTCATTTAGCTAATAAAAAGTCTAAGCAATAAGAATTAATTCTTTTTTAAAATAAATGCAGTGTTTAAACCTGTAAGAGTACTGGAAAATGTTCAACTTAAGGGAGCCAAGGATTGGATGAATGAGGGAGTAAAAAGGAAGAAGGCAATTATATCTGACAGTGCAAATAAAAAGGAAAAATCACACAGTACAAACCAGCTCTAAAGAAATACGTTTATTTAAAACTTACACTGAGACAAGTAGTAGCTTTAACACAGAACAAGATAGCTTTAGGAACACAAAACAAGCTATTTTACAATGTAATGTCTCAAAGTGTCCTAAATTCTACATCTCCTCTGACTTCATAGGAGAGTCGAGATTTCACTTTCAGTGGAGTGGGGGCTCGGATAACGCCAGCCAAAAACTCACTGGGTATCAGCTCCAACTAATAATTTATCTTACAGATAACTCGGCGAGCCCTAGTACGTGGATCATAAGATCTTTAGACATCTAGCAAGCACTACTTCTCACGGGTGCGTTATGCAGGAGGATTAAGTTAACAAGTGCTCTACTGTATGTGCTTCAGTGCGACATTCGTAGTAATGGTCATATAGAGTAAGACAAAAGCCCTAACAAAGATAATCGAGAAAGAGCAGTTATTCCGCTCCCCAGTTAAACTCCTTGAAGCAATATGACTACGACATCATGTTATTGTTATTGTATTGCATCACTCCATTGTGAGCTCTTTTGTTTCCAATCACCAGAACATGTTAGAATATAAGCATTATAACGAAAACAAAAATGGACTATTCTCAAGAATGTCACAAACCGGAGTGATGAACTGTGCCAAAACGTCTGACAGTCAAAAAAGGAAACTGAATGGTTTCTTAAATATTCTGCAGTTAATCAGCCATCTATAAGCACCCTACTTTTCTAGTGTAGGCAGAGAACTTGCCTCACACTTCTGTATACTTTCAAAAGACACAAAAGGTGGCCAATATACCCTTTTTATTTAAGCTTAATTTGAGGAAGTACAAAAAAAGTCCCTTTATTTATGCTTGATTAGGCCAAGTAACTAAAATATACAATTTAGCTTACCTAGCTATAGTATAGTGTTCATATTAGAGTTATGAAGCAGAGAATGAAGTATTTAAACATACAACATGCTACACTAGTCAAGAAACAGAGAGGGGAAAAAGTGTGCCCTGGAAACTGCCTTACCAGCAGCCCGAAGAGTTTAAAGTACAAAAGCACACAAGTGTTCCATAAACACTATCTTTCCAGCTTCAAACTTCTGTTCTATATTTTAAAAGTTAGTATTTTTACATTTTTTGGTCCCAGAAATACTATACGACACAAAGTGATCAAAACAAAACTGATGTCAATGAATTTTGAGATGTTTTTAGCAAAATATTTTTGAATTGGCACAGCAAAAGCAAAGTTGGATATCAAGATACACAAGACTAATCATGCAAACACCGCAAGTGAGACTTACACAGTGAGCTCATGACTGACATTCTCCAGAGACACTGATGTTTACTATAAACCGTGTGGGGTAGGTATAGTTAAAGGATATCCACTCTAAGATATAAGCAGCCTCACAAAAGGTTATGTGCAGTTATTTTACTTTTTGGTATTATCAATTCCTCTCTTTTCCTTCCACAAAACAAAAACAAAACCAACAAAAAGGTTTGCTTGAATACACATTAAGCTGTCTTTTTAAAGCTGTATTTTTAACTGCTTAGATTACCAAACACAATCTCTAAGTTGTCATCAGAAAGGAAATTTCTTTCCTAAAGAGCCATCTTAGGCTGGTTATCATAATCAGAAACTTTCCAAATACTCTGGGAAGTTACTTCCAGTTCAGAATTTCAGAATGTCAGCCTTGAACAGATTTAAGCAAATCTGGTTTCTTTCTTTATTAACAAGTTAGTTAGGATATTTCAGAAACACAAGTTATTGATGTGAAATCACACATGTGAACTCCAATATGAAAATTAGAAATTCAGTAGTCAGGAAAACCTGCACACGTCATCATGCAAGGAAGGACTTACCCCTTATTTTCAGCCATGGCCTAGGCTGCCTGCTGAGTCAAAAAACAACAGTTTCAATCAAGTTTTCAAAACCAGATTATACCTAAATCTTATGAGTCATAATTTCTGCCACATGATGTGAAAAAAAGACAAGCCTACAAATAAATTGGTAATGATTGTCTCAGAAGACAACTCTGAGATACAAAACAACCCGAAACCTAACATCACGCCCTTGTGGAGAGAAACTGGTACCCTAGGGAGCTGCTAAATTATCACCACCACCAAGAAAAGGGAGTCTGCACAGAGAAACGAGGACTGTACGCAGTGGGTTTTTCTGTCTTACTTGCATAAACCTCTCACAACTAAGAATTAGCACTTCTCAGAACCCAATGGCTGTTATTAAAATAACTAAAAGCAAATGGAAATTGAGAAAATGGTAGAGGTGGGGTAGGATATATATCCTCACATAGAAATATAACTTGCAGTTTCCCACCCCCACCCCAGGCTAAATTAAATTGTTTTAAAGCAGATTTTCAACACATTTTACTGAAAAACTTTGTCCCAGTCAGGAATACTAAGTTAGAAATTTCAGGAAAGTTCTTAGCATAGAGTCCAAGGGCTAAACATTAATAGTCTTACAGCAAATTGAGAGCCAAAAATTCTGGTTGTGCTTTTTTTTTTTTGATGTCTGACACAACTAATAGGAAGGTAAACTATAATGGACTAGGAAAAAAAATAACTGCACTTGGAATTCAACTTCTAGAATGGCATACCGGAATGTCTAAGAAGGTAGAAACATTCTGAAAGAAACAAGAAAAATAGACTGGCCGCACATTGCAAACCGTTAGAGCAGGAGTCTGTTCTGTTAACTGAATGCTAAGAGTCAACCTGAATGCTAATGTGTATAAAGCTTGGGAATACGTAAGAGAATCAGAAGGATGCATAAGAATAAATAAACACTAACTACAGAAATATATTTTTAAGAGCCATAATTATGCACCCAAATTTGGTACTCTAGACTCAGGCAAAATTCCAAAGAAAGTCTAGGGCAACTAGATAAAACATTGTAACAATCAGGGCTGAGAAGTAAGAAGGCTTCTCTTTAGCAACATTTCTCTAAATTATGTCCTTTTCATTTTGAAAAAAGTTTCTTTTAGAAAGGAATGATGATTCTATACAATACGCATTAGAGCAAAATTTAAAATTGAAGGCATTCAGTGTCGATTGTCATAGGCATTATTTATACTCATTAACTTATACTCAAGTAAGCCTGCAACTCCCGAAAAAAGTGTTTTTAAATTTTTTAATGCCTTTGATTTCTTAGGCTACACTAATAATACTTTTCTTCTTAGAGAAACAAATTTCACATATATAACTTCCTCTGTATTCAATCAGCTAAAGATCAATACTTTTGCCAGCGACATCATCTTGGAGTGATAGCTTGAAGTCTCTCACACAGTTGCAAAAGAAATGAAAATATTTAAAAATGCATGAGCCAATCACAAATTTCTCATCAGTCATCTCTTCTAGAAATAAAAATAGCATTTCTAGATAAACACATACAACAAAATATCAATGCAAACATTCTGAAATCTTGATGAAATATTGTGCTTTTTCCTTCAAATTTCAGTCTCACTATTGCACATACCTCCTGCGGATGAGGGCTCAGTGCATAAATTCTGATCTTGCCAAAACCAACCATTCAGGAAAAAATGAAAAGGAATATCAAAGTAAATGTGCAAATAAAATTGGTGCTTAAAGCATGTTCAAAACATAAGTCCCTAAAGACAAAGGAGTTAAAACTTGTTGGCAGAAAGACAGCCAAGTAACTACACCTGGTTTTTCCACTTGCCTTTAATAAGATCTTATTTAGCTAGCATACACACACAAACCAAAGTCAGAAAAACACCGCAAGTAACAAAAATTGCCACATATTGAATTGAGTTTCCCATTCTTCAGTTTTTACCTCTATTTCCTTTATATGGGGCAATAATTAGTTCAGGTAGAAAATAAGTTATCAACATACTTTTTCAAGTAACAGTCTGGGCATCTTCACCCTCACGAAACAGGTACGTATAACTGTTTTCAGCTGCGCGTATTAGAGAACCTAGCATTCGATCTGAGAGCTTGGCACTCGTCGCATGTTTAGGGCGTGCCGATGTATTTCTTGCATCTGTCTGATCCGGTCCTTCTGCCACATTAAGTTCTGAGGCATAGGATATCTCTGTGTGCCATGCAAGTACCGGTAGGGGATTCTCACGTGGCAAGCAGTGGCTCTACAACGGGGCTGCGGCATGGGAGGCAGAAGCATCCACCTCTTTCTTTCAGCGCAATATCGGTAGGCTTCTTTCCGATACTGTTTGTCAATATCATCACTGTTTTTCCAGCCTCCGATAATGAAAACGTCATCTTTGTAATAGCAAATAGCTGCTCCTTCAATGCTTAGGACTTCTGGGGGTAAGCTTTCAAGGATCTCATCAGAAACCTGGCTGGCGATTTTTCTTACCGCCTCTTCATTTTCTAAAGAATAACTCTTGGGACAGCACGATGCTGTCTGATAAAAGTTTGAATTGACCACAGACATTTGGAAAAAACAGTAATTGTCAATAAGTGGCAAAGATTCCACATCTTGCCACTGTCGAGTCTCTGTATCATAGCAAGTAATTACAGCCTTTAATCCATCTTCCGTGTCCCGGTCCACAGGGGTTCGGGCAGCAATGTACACAAACCGGTCTTCAATGGCTAGTGCTTTGACATCTCGAAGAATCTTTGGTGCCGATTCCAAGTTGTGCCATTTATCAATCTCGGGATTATAAACGGTGACATCCTTAAAGCCAGGACTAAAGTTGCCATGTCCTCCAATGCTGTAGAGCTTCCCTTTGACTTCTGTTAGCCCAAAAGAATGCTTCCTTGTCATCAGACTACAAACATGTTCCCACGTATTCAAATTTGGGTTATACTTTTCCACAGTCTTAGCAAATCCTGGTTCCATTGATCCAGCAACATACACGTAGGATTCTGTTACTGCAACAGCATGTCCATCAAGGTGATTATGAATATGGGGCAGGTTTACCCATCTGTCCTCATCGACGAAATATCCCACACATTCACTTAAATAGTCCCCTCCTTCTGACACCCCTCCAATAACCATGATCACGTCCATGTTTTGCCCATAACGAGGTAATAAGGAGACGTGAGAAGCAGGATGCTGGTATGTGCCAGACTGTATGTTCTCAGCTCTCAGAGCATGCCTCTCCACTGCATCGGCCACTAACTTGACGCAAACTTCATTACTGGCCACCAGCCTCTCTGGCTTGACATGCCGAGTAAGGTAAGTAGGTTTCATCTGGGACAACCTGAGCAATTTAAAAAGTTCTTCGAAGTATCTCTCTCTCTCTTCAGCATTTCTCTGAACCCACTTCAAAACTGTTTCAAAGAGAACCTCTTCAGAATCAACCGTAATTTCCAAGTCTGACAGCCAGTCTCGAATGAGATGGAAAGGTAAAGTATAAAATTCCTCATCCTGAATTACTTTGTGGAAATTTCTCCGGATCATATCGGCAGCTTTCAGAGCAAGCTGGCTCAGGGTATACATGTGAGCTAAGCTGTGAATGGCCACACAATTAGACAGGTGAAGTTTTTTCTTGAGAAATTCTCCACAAAATTCTTTTAAACGAATTAATAGGAACCTAAAACCAAAAGAAAGAGAAAAGATTAATTTTCAAATGTGCATATTTTATGTGGGTGCATTTTGAGAGCATCTGAATTATACAAATTGAAATGGTAAGCTTTACCTCACTCGATGCACAGCATCTGAAGAAAAGCAAACGCTCTCAAATTGAGTGTGTTTAAAGGCATATATAAAATCTTTATAGATATTTTAAATTATTTTATATATAGTTTATGCATAATCACATATTACACATAATATATATAACACACACACAATGGCGTTCTTAATTATTTAAGGTTTTCCAGAACATATCCTTTACTAAAGTACAACAGTCCCATACTTTATTTTCACAAATCCCAGTCCGAACTTGTCCATGCCGTCCTACCCCAACCCCATGCCAGGCACCAGCCTCTTCTCAGCGAAGGGACTCTACTAAGCGTGGACTCCATGGCACAGGAACTGTGGCTCCTGGGACGCTCGGGGACTCAAACGTCAGAAGGAGCAGCAGTGGGGGCTTTGTGTCAGAGGCTTTAACCTCCTCTGCACCAGCTTTCTCCCTGGGCAGCCGGGGACGGGGGAAGGGCTGGTCCTTGGAGGCTGTGGCCTAAGTCAGTTCCCCTTAAGTAGGGTGGCAAGGCAAACTTACACATCTGAAGAAGCCAGGAAATAAAACGACAACAAGAAAAAACATGTGCAGGACAGTTCAGGTTGAAAGAGAGAAGAAGGGGGTTTGGCATGTGGCTGACTAGAAGTTGTCTGCCGACCTCAATTCATTTAAAGTTAAAACAAAACACCACAAGAGTTTCAGCCAAATCCATAACTCTGGCAGAATTCGGCCAGGGTGGCCAATTAGAGACCACTGCTTTAAAAAGAGAAGTCCCCAGAACTGAGAACCGTAAACAATATAAGGATGACTTCATCAGTGCGGGCCTCTCCCATTTCAGTAACCATTTGTTGTTATAGTTGTTGTGCTTAGTGTATAAAGATCAATGAGACAGGTTCCTTTCACCCTCTTCGGGGAACACAGCATCTTAGAGATAAAACAAAGAAAAGGGGGAGTGGTAAGAGCTCTAGTGGCTCTCAGACATGTGTGGGTGCCAGAGTCACTGGATTCCCAGGCTGCCCCCACCCCCACCCAGAGGTCCTCTTTTTGGCAGGCACTCCAGGTAATTCTGACACACATTCCCTTAGACAGTGTTTGGAAACACTGCTCTATGAAAACAATAGCTATCACATCTAGGTATTTGCACGTGATGGGCATCGCACTGGGCGCTCCCTATGACTTCCTTACGTTGTAAGTGCCCTGCAAGGTGGGTGGCAGGGAGAGGGATCCTGCCTCAGAAGTGATGGAGAGATTTGATGTGATGGTTGCAGGGCACTTAGAAGAACACCTAAAAGTGCTGGGCAGCTGACAGATGGAGAGCAGTTAGAGTTTTACGTAAATTGCCTGGGGTGTTCTCTCCTCTCCTCGCCTGCAACTCTCCAATAAAGCAGGGACAAATCTAAAAACTCAAGCTCACAGGATGGAGGCCAGCACAGCTTGCGTAAGCACAATGACCCTTCTTCATCCAGTTACATTCAATAAACCTCCCTCTCTCAGCTCTACGCCCGCCCGGCCCCACACCACCCTCTTACAGGTGACCCAGCCTCATGCTTTGAGAAAACAGAAGCAATCAGGCAGAAACTTCATCTTCCCACCACCCAACATGCCTGCAGCTGTACCCTACACTCTGCCTTCCCCGTCCAACTTGTCCATTTTGTTGCTGTTGAAGAAGAGTCGCCCTGAGATAACATCTGTTGCCAATCTTCCTCTTTTTGTATGTGAGCCGCTGCTACCACAGCATGGCCACTGGTGAGTGGTGTAGGTCGGGGCCCAGGAACCAAACCTGGGTTCGGTTCCCTGGTTCCCCGGCCGCTGAAGCGGGGTGCACCGACCTTAACCACTAGGCCACCAAGGCTGGCCCCAGGTTTTCCATTTTTAACATAGATGGATTCTATCGCCTTCTTGGCTTCAAGGACTTTGCTCCTGCAAATATTCCTCTGCTCCTGTAACATCAATTTCCCTTCCACCGATTCATTTTTTACCAGCACACAAACATGCTCTATATAATCTTAGCAGGGGAGAGGAAGACAGACCTCGCTTGAGTCCTCCCCAAACATCTCCATGTGTATCATTTTTCTGATGCTCTTTATAGCAAGATAACTTAAATGGCTCTTGTCAATGTGCCATCAAAGACCTCTATTATCACCAAATCCAAAGATCACTTACGGTTGACAGAGTTGACATGATTGGCGACGCCCTCCCTGACACCCGTTCTTTCTAGGCTTCCATGGGATCAGTCTCCTCTTTAACATTCTGGAGAACCCCAGGGCTCAGTCCTGCCCCTGCTCTTCTCGAGCTACCCTCTCTTCCTAAGTAACTTCATCCATCTCATGGCTTTAATTACCATCCCTAGGTTAATTTCCTCCCCATCTCTAGCTCCCAATGCTCTTATACCCAACTGCCTATTCAGACATCTCCTGGACCAAAACCAAACTCCTAAGCTTCCTCCCAAGCTTGCTTTCCTGCAGTTTTCCACATCTTAGTAAGTAACAACTCCATCTAACTGCTTGGGTCAAAAAACTAGCAGTCTTTTCCCTTATGCCTTACAGCAAATCCATCTCCTCTACCTTCAAAATATATCTAGAATTGGAGTACTTCTTATCACCTTTACGTCTCCCTCCTCAGCCCAAGCCTCCAGGACCATTGCAACAATCTCCTAAACTAGTCTCTGCTTCTGCCCTGCAGCCCCTTCCCCACTGCTCCGTCCTTTTTCCAACACAGCACAATTCTTCAAATCCGATTACACCATTCCTCTGCCCCAAACCTTTCCATCTCCTTCAGATCAAGGGCTCAAGTCCTTCCTCAGGCCTACCAGACCCGATGCCACCTGGATCCATCCCCATTACGACCCTGAGGCCCCTCCTTCTCCCCTCACCCTGCATCCCTTTGATGTAGCCACACTGAATTCCTGTTATTCTCTAACATCCAGACAAGCTCCACCTCAGGGCCTTTACACCAGGGTCCCCTGACCAAAACACTCTTTACCTCGCCTCCTTCAGTTCTTTGCAAAATGTCTTCTTGATGAGGCCTTCTCTATCCATCCAATTTTAAAAAGTTTCTCTCCACCAGCACTTTCTATATGCCCCACCATGCTTTATTTTTCATCATAGCTATAACAATCATCCAACACGCTACCCATTTCACTTATTTATTGTCCATCTACCAACAAAAATACAATGAGAAAAGGGATTTTGGTCTGTTTTGTTCACCAGTGAATCCCCAGCTCCTTAGAACCCAGTGTCTGATCTGATGCATAATAGGTACTCAATAAGTGTTTGTTAAAATGACACAGCCATAACATAATACTGCCAAAACAGACTCCTCCCCATCTCCATAAATGGCATTCACCCGCCTCCTAACCAGGCTCTGAAGCATCCATTCCTGCCCCCTACAATCCATTTTCCACAGTAGCCGAATCATCTTTTAAAATATTTAAGTCAGATAATTTCTTTACCCAGCTTCCCACCACCCAGTAAAATCCAACTCCTTATTTCAACGCATTTCACACACCTTCTCCCCTTCGCCCTACTGGATTTCTCTTTTAGTTCTTCTCTAAGCCAAGCTGAATCCTGCCTGAGGGCCGTTGCACTATCTGCCTGGAATGTTCGTTCCCTATCTTTGCACGGCCAGTTCTTCCTTGCCGTTTAGAGGTCGGTTTAAATGTCATCTCCTCAGAAACCTCTTTCCTCTACCCAATCACTATCTTTCCATCCCGTTTCAATGTCAACACAGCACTTATTACACGCAGGCTTTCTTTTCGACTGCCTTTGTCCCTCCACCTGGGATCTGAGCTCCCTCAGAGCAGGGCGCCTTCGCGGGACTGCCCGGGGGCGTCCTCAATGCGCGGCGCAGCGGCTGCTCCACAGCACCCGGTGGGCGCTCAGTTAAGTCTCCAGTGAAGGCAGTTTTTCAGGGCTCACTCGAGCCCACCCGTGGGCACTGCTCTCCCCGCCTTCTGCGCTCTCCCTGGAGCATCCGCATCTCCGCCTCCCGGCGCCGCGGCCCCCGCTCCCCGCCTACCTGTCGGCCAACTCCAGCACCTCGTGCACACTGCCCGTGCTGACGCGGATGCGCCCGGTGTACATGTACTCGATCACGGCTTCCACCGTGTCGGGTTCAGGCCCGGGCTCGGAGCTCCACTTGCGCATCTCCACCCGGCCCGAGCGGGACTCGGAGAACTGGCCCGAGAGCAGGGGCGTGAAGTACTCAGTGGCGGCGGCCAGCACCGAGCGATGCGCCCGGAACTCACGGCCGCCGGCACCGCCGAAGCACAAGGTAATGTCGCAGAAGAGGCCCTGGCGCCGCTGCTCGTTCTGCCTCCACGACAGCTCCGAGCAGTGAGAGCTGCACTCGAAATCCTCAGCCTCTGGGCCCGGGTCGCCCCCGCTCGCCTCCATTGCAGACAAGCCGGGCCCAGGCCCGAAGTCCACCGTGCCGCTGCCTCTGACTTCGGCAGCCAGCCCCGCCGAGCCGGCGGCGGCCGTCTCCATGCTCTCCATCTCCAAAACCTGCAGAGATGCGGCCGCCGCTGCCGCCGCCGCAGCCGCCACCGCCGCCGCCGCCATCTTGACGCCGCCGCGCCCGAGCGCCGCAGCCTCGGAACGATCCGGCCGTTCTGGTGCGACACAGAGGGATTCTGGGAATAAATAGTGGGCGCGGGGCGGAGCCGGCGGCCCCGGGTCTGCGCACGCGCCGCCGCGCCCGGCCCACCTTGGAAAAGGCTCGGTCGTACTGCTGGCCAGTTGTGATTGCGCCCCCCGACGCCTCCCGCTAGGTGTCAGTGGAAGGATGGCTTGTTTCCTTCCCCTTAGTGGGTGGCATGCTCTTCGCGGTCGCCTGGTAAAGCAAAAGCCACCTTAGGCCATCACCCATTGTTGGTGTCTTGTATGGCAACATAGGATCTTTAAAGATTTACAATGGCTTTGGAGTAAAATTTTAAAAAGAAAAAAAAAAAGACTTGAGACCGAGCCCCAGCTACGAGGATGAGGGTGATCAAGTTACTTATCATCTCTGAACGAATTTATCTTCTGAAAACGGGTATATTATCTGCGTTGGAAGATCGCTGTGAGGATTAAATGAGATGATGTTTGTCAAGTGTTTTGCATAGCGCTTGGTGCATAGTTACTGTTCCCTATATACTTGTTAAGATGACTAAATCCACTTTTGGGTTTTGAGCAAGGAAGTGGCTCAGTTAGATCTGTTTTGAAAAATATCACTGGTGGCTGCGTGGAAAATGGACTGTAAGGGTACAAGGTAGAACTAGGGGCAGAGTTAGCAGACCAGATAGGGACTTGGCGCCCAGATAGAGAAGTAGAGGGAAAGATGACTTCGGTGCCTTTGGTTTGAACATCCTGGTGGGCGGGGCTTTGGTTCCTGCTCACGGGGAAAGGGGAGGTGCAAATTTAGGGGAGAAGATAGAATGATTTCTGTTTTTTTGAAGATAGTGTTTTGATTTCTTTTTTTAAGAAGTGGATAAACATTTTAAAAACTACATGTAGTAAAACTATTAGAAAGTACAGTTCAAAGGAATGCAGATGAAAGGATATAGATGACATGAGACAGCAGTATGTCTTCACTGTTACTATATAGTTTATTTAAACCAAACTATGATAATATAGAGAAGAGACTGAGGTTGGCAGCTGCCCAGAATCTTTGTGGATTACAGATGCAAACTGGCTGGAGCAGAGTCCTTAGACCCATATTTCAGTAACAGACAAATCAGTTGCATAAATACAGAGAACGTAAGACACAAGACATTTCACAGCTTTTTCTTTTGTGTTTCCATTTTAAAATATGTATGTTACAACTTTACATTTTAAATTACTAATCCACATATTTTGTGACAATGGCTAAGGATGCAATGGTCCCATCCATCCCACTGACATAGCAGACTTGGGTCTGCAACATGGAACATTTCAGCAGGATACCAAACAAATCTTTAACATATAACATACAAACATCCTAAAAAAAATAATATTAATACAATGCTCTTCATGTTATATGGGGAGGAAGAGAGAATGGAAAAACAAGACATTAGGGGTGCTTTAAATGTATAGTATCTTGAGGTCTTACAAGTTTCATTCTCTTCCTCCAAGGGAAGAAAAAAATTTAACTAAAGGAAAAAAGAAAGCAACATCATAACACCCTACAATGCGGAAAAACACTACCCTGACGTGCTTAGATACTTCCAGATAATAAATACAGCAGGGAGCAGAGCAAATGTCACAAGTATTGGCTTGGTTTTTATTTCTATGTGTATAAAAAAAAACCCCACAAAAAACATGAAGCTTCTTTGTGTGGAATGAACAGTGTTAGCCTGTGGATGTTGGTCCTCAGTTGCCTGTACATTGGTGGCTATTTACATCCAGGCTTATCCTATAGCAAACTCCAGGGCCAGCCATCTGAGCACTATTTCCAGGGGGAGGAGTTCTTGTCTTCACTTTACTGCAGGAGGATTCCTGTCTCAGTTACATGCTCATGTGTTCCGGAAGAACATATGAAATATCATCCCACGGGTGACGATACAGCCCCTGCTTCAGCCTCTTCTGATCAAGATAGTGTCCTAAAATGGAGCAAGTGCATCCTTTTGTTAAGAGTTGGTGAGTTTATTAAAGTTTGGTGAAGGAGAGAAGACAAAGAAGGGAAATCTTCCTGATGCAAAGGAATGGGGAAGTAAATCCAGATCCATTCCATAGGCAGCTGCCAGCCTTGGTAAAAGGAAACTGTTGAATTTGTTTTCTCAGGCTAGCAACTGAAGTCATTTCCAAAAACAAAGGGACAAAGATAAAGATAAGGGGGAAGTTAAAGGAAGGAAGGAAGGATTAGGAACAATGGTTAAGACAACGTGACATCTCTTTTGTAGAAACTCAACCACATGGGTAGTGGTACAGCTAAACCAAAGGGGTAAAAAAAACCCCCAAAAAACTCTTAAAACAACAACAATAACAACAACTCACCAATGAAGCCCATGCTCCTCCCCAGCACAAAGATGCCGTTGAGGGCTCCAATGTCAATATACTCATCAGCTTCTTCCCTGCAACACACCATCGACTTGTAGTTTTAAAATGGCTCACGCGACGGCCCTCCTGCCCACAGACAGTCTGACTTCCACCCGGGAACGAGAAGTTGGCTCTCTTTGGTTTCAAAGGAGAAAAAAGGGGTGTACCCAGTGGTGGGAGTAAAGGCAGTTTTCATTTTCTTCTTTCTGCCTCTCCCTATTTTCTAAATCCTCTATAATGAGCATGCAGGGCTTTTAGAGTTTGGAAGAAATAACAACAAAGTCAATCAATGTTCTGAAGAAGAAGAGGGTTGCAAAGCTCACCGAGTGAAGGACCCACAGTTTCTAAGCATGTCTACAAATGCGACTCCGATGAGGCCGTCTACATTCAGGATAAGATTTGGTTTCTGGGAAGGCAAAAAATTCAAGGCATTAACATGATTTGTCACTTCTTCCTTGTCATTTCCCACTATTACTACTACTATGATTACCACCAATTCTAACCACCATTTAAAAACCTCCCACCAAAACAACCCGGTTGATTAGGAGAGACCGTGTCTTACTCGCCTGGTTGACACTTCATATATGTCTGTTGAACTTAGTTATGCAACTGAAATAAAATTTACCAGAAAACCAGGTTTGATTTTAGCTGCACAATTAGAACGTAACCTGGCTTTCATTTTCCCCAAGAAATTCACCCAAAACTGATTCGGGAACTAGGGACATTTCTCCTTTACCTTCGAGGTGGTGATCTTCTCTACTTCCAGCGCGTAGTCGAGCAGCGGGGTGGCAGGGAAGTGCTGTCTGACGTAGTCCTTGAGGATCTGCACTCGCATGTCTGGGTTGTTGATCTGCAAAGTGACCCACAGTTACCAAGGGACCAACTCTAACACTGCTGTTAAGGGGTGTGTTCATGGTCGTGTCGCAGGCGGACACTACCGTACGTAATGTATCCGGGAGGTGTGTCTCAGGGACCTGATCCACGTGCATGATTCCATGTGGCACAGATTATGACGCTGCTGTGGGGCTCAAGGTTTCTGAAGTCCTCTCATATCTCATTTGAGCCTCAGAACAACCTTTGTAGGTTCTCCCTTTTACGTTACAAGCAAGGAACTGAGACGTGGAGACGTTCCGTGAGTTAGCTGTGGGTCCTATGGTGCTAAGCAGCAGGGGGCTGGGGCTCACCCACTCTCCAACCAGAAGTCTTAGGGTCTAGCAGTAGCCATGCTGCCCACCAACTCAGTAGTCAAGCTAAGCTGTAACAAAGTTCTCAGTGTTTTTTTTCCTTCCTCAAAGCCCCAGTGCACAGTTATATATTCTAGTGGTAAGTCCTTCTAGTTCTTCCACATGAGCCACTGCCACAGCATGGCTACTGACAGACGGGTAGTATGGTTCTGTGACTGGGAACTGAACCTGGAGCGCCAAAGCAGTGAGAGCACCAAACTTTAACCGCCAGGCCATCAGGGCTGGCTCAAGCTCTCAGTTTTTAACTAAGCAAGCACATGGTGGCAGTGGGGCAGCAAAGCACCCCTGACATTTCAGGAAAAACTCTGGACCTGCATTGAATGGCAACGAACCATGTAAGGAAACCCACAGGAAGCAATAATCTGTCAGTGGGGGAGTGAGATGGTTTAAACACACGCCGAATCCCAATGCCACAGAGACCTCCCTTAGCAAAGAGACACGCTAGGTCACAACGGACTCCAGAAAGGAGGGAGCCCAAAAGACTACGTGTGGCAGTGCAGGGCTGACGCTATCTCAGAAAGATGCCCTGCGCTGTGTGTGCACTGTCTGCTCTCGAGCTGGGGACGGCTGAGCAGAGTTCAGCAAAGCCAGGATGAAACGTCCCCCAGAACTAACCATGTGCCCTGGTTCTAATGCAGTCCTTGCTCATCAAGCAGACTCTGGAGGCCTACCCTGAGCTGGCCAGGCACTTGGATGCCTGGACGGGGGTGTCTCAGATCACATGCCTGGCCCTCTTCTATTAATGTGAGTCATACATCCTGCCTGGATCAGCAGAATGACTGACTGAATGAGGTTTCTGGAGCAACAGAACCAAGGACATCGAGGCTAAGGGACCTAGAAGGAGCTGTCCCTGTAAGGCCCTGAACAGCTGTACCTCTTCTCTTTCCCTTTGATTTCTAAACACAACTCATTCCCAGGACACACAGGGACTCCGTGCACTATGGGGGACTCTATTAGCCATTTAAAATATTCACCACGCCCCCACACTTTTCCCAATCAAGCTGACCCTGATATTATTGCTCTTCCTGCCCCAGTGATGGCATGCTTAACCATGTGACTTGCTGTGACCAATGAAATGTGAGCGAAAGTGAGCCATGCAACTTCCAAGCAGAAGCCGTCAGAGCTTTCATGGGGTTCTGCCATGGCTGTTGTCCTTCTGACATAAGGCAGCACATCCTGGATAGGGGCTGCTTCTTCAGCAGAAATGATGGAGAACAGAGCTGCAGCCAACCCACAGTGGATGTAGGGTGAATAAGAACCAAACCTTTGCTGTTGTAAGCCACTGAGATTTCTGGAGTAGTCTTACTGTAGCACACAACATCATCTAGCCTAAGGTGACCGATTTGTCCCTTTAACCCTGACCTTTGTCCTTTATCCTATAAGGTTCATTGGGCAGAAGCTAAGGTTACCAAATTGCCAGCTCATCATATTTTCACACCACAATTCAACAAGATAAAAACTGTTTAAGGGCAAGCTGTATTATCATGGAAAAAACAGCTGCTTTATATTTGGCATCTGTCAACACATCCAAACTTTTGCATGTTGGGACTCAAGAGCCTGGGTATTCCCAGCTAAGTCAATGCTCTCTCCTCACCATCTACCCTGTAGATCCAGTCCCGTAAGGGAGCAACAACTTACCGATTTCACTCGGTGACCGATGCCCATGATCAGTTTTCCTTCCTTCTTCATCTTGTTCACAAACTCCATGGGGATAATGCCACTGTCAAAGGCTTTGCTGAACATCTTGGCTGCGGCATCCAGGGCACCCCCGAACCGGTCCCCCTGAAGGAGAAGCAAGCCCATGTTACCCTGAGCTGTAAGAGTCTCCTTCAGCTTCACAGACCCACCTGGCAGGCCCTGAAGAGCCCCCAGCAATGGGGTTTTACACTCAGGGGTTCCTTGCAGGACCCTGCTGCAACCAAGTGGCATGATGCCAAAGCCCAGTGTCCCCGCTGTCCACCTCCCAGGATAACAGTACTCACAATGGTGAGCAGCCCCGAGGTGAGGCTGGAGACCAGGTCCTTCCCAGCCCGAGCACAGATGATGGTGTTGTGAGCCCCAGACACGGCTGGCCCATGATCAGCCGTCACCATCAGGCACATCTCAATGAACTGGCAGGAGTACTTGGGCAACCTGGAGGAGGGTGGGCAAAGGCGAGCTGCTGAACAGGAGGTTCACTGACAAGGCCATGCTTCTACTTTCTCCCATCTGTCCAGATAAGTCACTCAAAGTCAAGA